TGAGGTGCGTACTGCGCATAGCTCCAACGCAGATGCCAGGAGCACAGATGTTGTTCAGTGCTAGCTGGTATATCCATCGCATTCCACGAAACATTTGCCGCAGTAAGTAAAGGTATAGTAATAACGTTCCAGCACTTCTGTAGCTAAAGATGCCGTAATACTTCATTGTCAGTATTCGCCCAATTTTCTGTAAATAATATCAACGTATTCGCGTGCCTTTCACAAGCAATTACGCACGACTGATTGTTTTCTGGACCATGCTGCCACCTAAAGAGAGTCAATTTCCAATTTTCCAGGCGTTCACACCAGGTAGAATTCTGAATGCCAAAAAAATTGAGAAACGGTGTTTTATGTTTACCATCTCAAATCTTAGAAATAAAATTGTCAAAAAAGGCTTAGATGGCGTTCGTTTGCCGTCGCCAGTGGTGCGATGTCATTGTTTCGGTGGTGGCGACGCCTTACGGCGCGGATGCGAATCTTCCATCATGCCGCGGGTCTGCTCAAACTAAACTGTGTTGTGTCATGTGACCCCTGGTGTCGCGGTAGCTCACCAGTGGGTTAAAGTTCTTGTAAAAGCCCTTAGGTAGAGTTAGGCCCTCACCAGATCTGTTCTTTGCGAAGCGCATGACTTCATTCTTGTGGTGTGCATGGAATTGTTTTGATACAATTTTGTGGAGCCCCATTTGAAGCAGACCTTCCGTGAGTGTCAACGGGGGTAAGTTCAGAGCCTTCTTGAGAGTCACACGTATGACTCTGTCTATTTTGTGCTCATCTGCTTTCAAGATCTTTAGATAAAGAAAGTTATAGATTACGTTCCTTTTAACAAATGCCTGAATTAGTCGCATGATGTCGTGTTCTTTCACCCTTCGTCATCATCAAGCCACTCGACTTGAAGGTAGGACTTCACCATCAAACCACTGCCGAGAACCAAGCATGCACAGTTCCACGAACATCGACGTCGGGCATGGGTAAAAGTTTACTACAAATACTCAGGTACTGAGGCCGCCTTCTTTGGCGATGCAGCTGGACCATTGAACGGCAAATATACAGGAGGTGTCATTCATTGTTGAAAACGAGTCGATTGTTTATCAGCCCAGAACCCTGACACAACTAGTAAGGAAGAAGCCGGAATCACCTTCGGCCTACGAAACCCAAGGGATCTTACATTTTAACAGATTCAAAAGCAGCCTACCGATATTTTGCGAAGGCTACATTGGTCGCATTGCGCATCGACTTCTTACAGAACTCTAGTCCTCACGCTCAGAGAGCAATTGGAAACAGATTCTATGGATACCCGGCCACTGCGGAGTTAGAGGCAATGAGCTCGCCCATGAATCGGTCCGATAATTACATTTCCGGACATCTGACCCCTGCATATCGTACCCGCCCTCGGCTATGCGTATGGACCCGTTTCTAACATACACAAATCTTCTAGAACATCAAAGGCTCGAAAGACGGAAAAGTCCGCCCCCGGGGCCAAAGCTCACTAAAGAATCTCAGGTAGCGTGGCGTCACCTGCAGACCTTGTCTTAACTCAATCCATACATACTGTGCAAGATAGATCCCGAGGTATACGCACCACAGTGCAGGTTTTGCGTCACTTAAAAAACCACCCTATACCACATGTATGGGAATGCCCACACAATCCACTTCTACAACGCAGAACACAGCGGAACACTGTAGGGTTGGAGGCAGCTCTGTCCAGCTCGGATCTGAATACCCAAGAGGCCCTTCTGAGATGAGCGAGGACAGCGGCCCATGCCAATACAATCCCGGACTAAGGAACCCACTCACCAACATTCCTTCCTCGGTCGCAAATAAATGTTTCATTCTCTCCCTCTTCTTTGCGAACGATCGAGGAGGGCAAAAACCTACAAGAGGCTTGACGTCACTCGTTGTGAAGCCGTGGTTAGGCTGGAAGTCGGTCATATTGACTGGGCGAATTCTCTTTTCCTGTTTACATTCGAATGTAAACAGAAGGTGCAACTCTCTCTCCGGCTTGGAAAGCACGTGGGCTATGCAGTGCATATGTGGTTATGAATCCAAACTAATGGAATGGTGCTCAACAATCTGGGACAGCGCGACACCTTCAGCAAAAAACATTTCTTTCGAGTATTAACAGCGAGTAATGGCTTGCCGACAACGAAGCAAGTGCGACAGAACGTGCGCTAGATGCAATGACAACGGCGAGTTTTTTCACGTCAATAATTCAGCACTCTTACAGACAACGTGATCAGTCGTACGGCTTCTTCTACGATTGTACTCTGACACGAGGCTGACACAGCGCCCGGCCACTGTACCCGTGTTTCGCGTGAAACCCACCGGCGTCAGCATTCTGCGACCATGGTGACTTCGAGCACGGTGCAAGCGACACTTTAACGCCGTTACTATAACTTTGAGATTACGATGCTGGAGGCGAGTATAACAAGCAGAACAGAAAAGGTTTTTTATTACGCGTTTGCAAGTTGTTACTGTACTCATACCATACACGAAACTACGTATGTGCACATGAACCTCATTGGATTTTGCTGGGCACAACAGTTTCGCCCATTTCCACAAACAGGAGCACCGCCAAACCGTCACTGACCTGCAAGGCATTTGTCGTCATTGCACTTCGTCATGGTGTCCAATATCACATCGTTGAACACTTCAAATGCTTCATCTGCGTCATCCACCGCACGACACATGAATATATTCATGTGTCGTGCGGCGGATGCTCCCATTCGACGCACGAAACGTGCCCTCGTTCTACGAACTTTTCACGCCAAGTGCTGTACTGGAGGTTTTGTAAAAGTTGCTAAGAATACAGAGCTGCCAGGAGAACACTGTGTAACCAATTATGTGGCGCAGAGCACGGATATTGTTCTTCACGGCTCAGCACGAGACCTGCGCAGGTAAACGTGCCACCGCCAGCCACGGCCGCGCACTGCTATGCCACCTACAATGCGCCACACGTAACCATAGCAACACCGCCATTGTGCTCAGTGATAATGGCCGCCATGATGTCTTTTCCTCCACACTTTTCACGTAGCGCGATGTCTGAGCATGCCCTTTCCGATCTTGCCTTCCTCCGCGCTACAAACCACCCCGTGTGCACCTGCCGTCATGTGACCAGTGTATTCAGTGACCACTCACCTGCTTCTCGATCATAAAAAAACCGCCGCAATTACCACGAGAGAGCATTCTCTCGTCAGCCACACCGAACTTCGTCTGTGTGTCGTAACTCACCGATCGCTCGGCCTCTCCGCCGGCCTTTTGTCTCCTTCCCCGTGCTCAAGCCGTACACAACATATGGCGACAAAGGACTGAACCCTAAACTCAGGCGACGCCATGAAGTGCCAGACGTAAATGCCGCTTCCCGCCACTTTCTACTTCACGTCGGCGCCTTTATTTAGCGCCACGCTGGCGCCGTCTGATTGTCTTTTCTTTGTGCTTGGTCCGGTTTCCTCGCGAAGCCGCTCTTCCGCTTTAGCTTGCAGCCTACACTACACGCGACGCTGGTGCTGTCTGAGTTACTTTTCTTTGTGCTTGATCCGACTTCCTCGCAAAGGTACCCTACTGCTCAAGCTTGCTGCCTCTCTCCTGCACCATGGCTGCCCTCTTTGCAAATCTTCCTCTAATTCTCAATATTCCCGGCGCGCCTTCCATTTCGTGAAACAAACGAGAACAAACGAGCTAGTTACACCTCAAGGCAGCTGGCGGAGGCACCGGGGCGACTGACAGACGAGCGGCAGCGCTCTTCAGCGCACTCGGCATGAAATGTCAACAGAAAAACTTTGCCGCAGAGGAAAATCTTGAAGCGCGAAGCATCCAAATGCTTAACAAACTGCATCAGGCTTGGTTGCATTGTCAACGACGGACAAAGATGCAGTGGCGACAGAGGGTTGCGCGGAAGCATCACGCTAAACGATACTTCTATTTCTCGATGAGCTTTTTGTCTAACGACGAACGTTCTAGCTTAGCGGCACTTAATCACATCCCGCAAACAACTACCTGAAGAAACCTTCCCCAAATGCATCGCTGCTCTTAAGGAGAAAGCCATTACTTGCAAATTCGGCACCACTTACGGCGAGAAAATTCGTTACCAAATAATACACGAAGTGGCGAACGTGGCGGTACGAGCCAAAGTACTGTGTTGCGGTGATACCCTCGGGCTACAGAAAGCAGAACTCGGACGAGATTTTGAGGCACTTTACAAGGCAAACGCAGCATTCAGCTTAAACGAACAGTTCGCCAGTGCCAGCAGCATAGCTCAGCGCGTCGAAGCCGCTCAAAATGACGGCTCAGTTGCTTCGCCGGCAGTGAAGTTGCCTCAACATGGCCACACCGGCTCGTGAGCAAGCATGCACTTCTTCGGGACCAACAAGTGGGTCTGGCTTCTTCCAAGCCGCCACTGGGCCTTTTTTTCCACTGTGGCCAATTTTAACCCATGCCAAGTTCACGAAATTGCCAGGCCAGGAATATAATCTGCCACTTCTGTCACATCAAAGGCCACTTTGCAGCAGTTTGCCGTAAACAGCAATTGTCTGTACAGGTGGTTAGCCCCGTTCAAGACTGAATCTGGCGCTGCCACAGTCCTGTCTGTGAACGTTATGCCGAGTAGTCGAGAACCTTCATATTCCTGCGGTTGTTTGCAACCAACCCATATGTCCTAATGGTGGATACCGGCGCCACTGCGTCGCTAATGATGAAGAAGGACTAGGACATGTCTTTCATTTCCAAGCACAAACTGCTACAGACGCTCATTCAACCGCGAAACTTTTCGATGCACCGCATACCGGTCCTTGCATATTTCCACATTCACGTGCAGCGTGGCGGGAAGCGCGCTTCCGTTACTTTCTACGTAACAGCACACGGAACTTCATTGCGAGCTGAATGCGATCCAACACTAGGGTCCGCTGATCGATAGCACGACATTTTCGTGTCGCCTTACCACTCAAGTTTTTTCGGAAATTCCGATAAGTGTAGCTCAGGGGTTTGAGCATCTATTCGATGGGCAGCTGACACTCGTCCGCAACTTCACCCACCGGGCCAAGCGGTGGGAAGACATCGTGCCAGTGTCCGCCAAACTGCGCCAGCAAGCCCTGGCCATCTGCAAACAAGTCGCCAGCGAGCTGCATCGACTCGAGGGAAGCGACTTCAGCGAGCGGGTGTCGGCATCTGAATGGGTGTCGCCACTCGTGATCATCCGTAAGAAAGATAAAGACATCCGGCTACACGTTGATCTGCGAGAACCCAACAAGGTCATTGTAATGCACGCTTTCCACTGCCCCATGTAGATGAACTCCTCCGAATGCTGAATGGTGCATCCTTCTTCTCTAAAGTGAATTTAGCATCAGCTTACCACGGACTTCTCGTAGAGAAATCCAGTAGAGACTTACCCACGTTCCTTACGCTTGAAGGATCGTTTCATTTCAAACAAATGTGCTTTGGTCTAACCTCCGCACCTGCAGTATTTTAAAGAATGATGTATACGAATTTGCAATCCTGTAAGAATGTTTTTTGCTACTTAGACGACATACTTGTGTAGGGAAGCTTGAAGTCTGAGCATAATAACACTATAGGACATGTGTTGAATTGTATTGCGCAGAGTGGCGTGAAATTGAATGACAATTGCCCTTTTGCGGTGAAGGAATTAACATTGCTGGCACATAAAATTTCTGCAGAAGTTATATCGCTCATGGAAAGCAAAGCTCACGCAGTTCGCAATGCTCCTCCTCTACATACCTGAAAACCCTTCACTCCTTCTTTGATCTTACAGGGTATTATGCCAAACTCCTTCACCACTACGCGGATACTGTTGAACCTATCCGCACCATGCTGAGAAAGGGACAACAATTCTGCTGCTCGTCAAGCGCACAACGCAGCTTTCAACAAATCAAGTCTAGCCTTGCCTGTGCTCCTGTTATAAAAATGTTCGATTCTTTATTGCCAGTGGTTGTCAAGACGGATGCCTCTAATGTCGGTTTAGGTGCACTATTGCAGCAACGTGCGGGTTCCCAGCTACACACTCTAGCATTTGCATCGAGGACGTTAACCCCAACATAACAGAAGTACTTTGTGGGTGAAAGAGGAGCCTTAACATGCTTATTTGCATACGAGCGGTGGTATATCTGCTGTGGGGAAGGCGTTTTGCGCTCAGGACAGATCACCTGTTGGTCATTGCTATGCTTGCAGCAGGTAATTCAGACAGACGACCTCTGCGTATTTTCCGCTGGTCGGTCAGGTTACTCTATTACTACTTTAACATTAAGTACTGCAAAGATTCATAGATCCGCATAGCTGATACCTTGTCGGGGTTATCAGTGCAAAACAATAATTCTGCTACCGAAGTGTAAGAGATGGTCTCCCTTGTGACCACTGTAATCAATGAGCAAGCTGTTCAGCAGCTACTGCTTCCGATAAAACATTAAAGTGGGTCATCAACTATGTAACTCCAGGATTGTTCGAGAGAGAAATTTGAACCAGCACTAATATAATACTTCCAGTTTGCGGATAAATTCGGTAAAACTGCAGAGCCGCTTTTTATGCCAGTAAAATGGCCGCAAAAACCGTGGCAGATACTGAGTATAGACAAATGTCGTCCTCTGCATACAGCTCCTAATCCTATATGTGCCATCACCTTGATGTTCTATTATTCGAAATGGCCTGAAGTCCTTTTTTACAAATTCAGGCACAACGCTCGACATCAAAAAATACTGAGTACTGCTTTCAGCCGTGAAGGTCTGCCAGAAACCCTGGTCACTGATAATAAACCCCAATTTATGTCCAGAGATTTTAAGGTTTTTTTTAAAGAAAGAGGTATCGTTCATCACATCTCTTCCAACTGTTACCAAAAGGCAAACGGGCTTCTTAAAGACCGTTTGCCTCTTGAAGACCGTTTGCCTCTAAAGACCGTGTTCTTAAAGAAAACATTCAAGTAGCCAAGTTGCAAGGGAAAAATGTCATTCAAAGCACTACAGAGCTCTTACGATCTTACAGGATAACCCCTCATGCCACCACAGGTTGTTCGTCAGCTGTTCTGCTTCATGGTTGTAAACCACAATTGACATTAGACATCAGTAAGCATAAGCTTTCAGTATTTCAACGTACCTCTCCGTCCGCACTTCGCCAGAAGGTTCATCAAAAACCGAAATAACGAATTCTCTTGTAGATATGCGCAAAGCCGCTAAATGAACTCTCGTTTAAGTAGGCGACAAAGTGAAGGTTAGGTTACATTGGAAATGCCCGTTCGGGTTCCGCCAACCCCTTACCGCTCGCCAACAAGCTAGTCCATTCACATTCCTTTTAAGTGATGGAAAAACGTGGAATTCGTGAAAGTTAACGATCTTCCTGCATGTGACTGCAGCATCTCTTCCGTTAACGCTTCAGTCTGCACTGATCTCTCGCGCACATTTTCCCTTTATTTATGATTACTCGAGCAATTGAATGTCTCCCTCAAATACAGAGATCTTCCATCAACACTCCATTTCCAGTGTCACGGCTGTACAGCACAGCTCTGCGCCACTATGACTCAGTGCGACTCCGCTCAACCTGACTTGCACCCTCCAATACCAGTGGCCCTGGACCATTCGTCAGGCCTTCAAGAGGGACGCCCTCGGTATTCCTCACCTGAAGTAGCTGATCCAAATGCCAATTTGGGGGCGGGAGATGTGGGACACGGGTCTTACGAGTCTCCTCTCAACAGCAGCAATCTGCCAAGTTCTTCTGCGAGAATTGGGCATTGGATTTTAAAGTCAGCTCCCGACAGCCGCAATTCCCAAAGTGATCCTGCAGGGCCAGAATCGCGACGGCCCCAAAGGACACGCAAAATTTCCGCCATCTTGAAAGACTATGCCACGAACTAAAGTAGTAAACTGTCTGCAGTATAGCTACAGAATACCAGTGCTTGTTCATGCATTTCATTGAATAGTGCAAAATGGCACTTGTGTTCTGTGTCTGCAAAGTCTATTTTATTTCCGTTACTTTGGGTTGTTGTTCCTGGGACCATGTTTATTATGTCACGCATCATTTTCTATGTTAGTCCCCGCATTTGAGAGGTGCAAATAACCGCTAGTAATTATGCGAACGGATTGAGGTTCTTTTTCATATCGCATAAGGACGCAATTTTCTTAAGGGGAGATGCTGTTGTTTCGAGCAAACCCTGGCGTCACGGTAGCACAACGGTTAGTTGGAGTTCTTGTGAATGCCCCTAGGTGAAGCTAGAACCCTACTAGGTTTATTCTCCGCACCCAACCCGGTGTGCATCTGCCGTCATGTGACCAGTGTGCGTAGTGGATATCAACTTCTTCCCAATCCTTAAAATCACCACAATCAACCCGGGATACCATTCTCTCGTCAGCCAAGCCAAAGTTCGTCTGCTTGCCGTCACTTGGCGGTCGCTCGGCCTCTCCGCCGGCCGGCCTCAGGCTTTGCCGCACTCCAGCTCTGCACAACACCCTGCTCACGCAAATGCCCCTGCATGAGATCAGGCTTGTGCTCTAATAATTTGTTTTTTAGGAATTAGTTTGGTGAGTTTGTGATTACTTACCATGTAAAAATGGCATTCGGTACTCTGATTTTGACTTCTGTATTCTACCTTCATTGTGCAATTGTCACACGTCGTATTTACATCAGAATAAAGTTCATGTGCACCTACCAGTGCGTCTGTGGAAGCGCAATGGGGAATACATACGTAGAAGCTCTAGAGGGTAAGGGCGCCAGATTGGGTTAGAGGTGAGCTAGGCCCGAAACGCCGCTTAGCACCATGATGTGGGTTTGTATCAGATATGTAGAGGAGCTCCGAAGTCTGGACCTCCTCTTTCGACCCAGACTCGCACCAAACTTTATTGTAGCCAAGCTCGAGAGAACACGCAGAAAGGCAGGACGCTTGGTTCAGCCTGTTTTCAGCAAGAGAGGTGGTTTCAGGAGCAGGATCGTTCCTTAGCCTGCCCATGTCTTCGTGACTAGCCTGATCATTTACGCCGCTCAGTAAATTTGTCCTCGATAATAAGAAGACAAAAGATTAAACGGCATCATCCGCAAAGCAAGTTGGTGAGCTCGAGATCCTAAAGTGTCTACCTGGAACACCAATCACAGGGCATTCAGTAAGCTCAACTACTTCCATATCTGTGGCTAGCCCAGCTCACGCAGACCACCCACGGCTTTGCTTACTCAATAATTTATGGCGTATTCAGTCGGGCGTTTTTGAGCGCTCTGGAGCGTTCGGGAAAGATTCCACACCTTCGGTTTGTAGAGTCGGGGCGTTCGGACAATTTCCAGTTGGTTCTTTCAAAGCGTCAGCCTCAGACGCAGAGCACTCCCGACCACTCTGACTTCGAAGAGTGAGCGTAGCGCGTTCTGACCGGGAGGATGGATCGCATGACGCAAGCTAGCCAATCACGTGGCGGCAGGCAGATGAACGAGGTGAGGAGTGTAAGCGTGCATTCCAGAAGGAGGTATCGCAGGCGCGTAATACTTCGAACACGTGCGTTGTTAATGCGCTTTGTGCACCTGTGCGGGGCGAATGCACAACTAAGAAGCCATAAATGCACCAAGTCAATAAAGAGGTGGCTACAGCGCCACGGAGACGACTTCGTGATTTGCCTTGAAGATAGCAGCTCGAACAAGAACGCTCGCAAGATTTATGTGTTGAGGTCAGAAGAATTTTGCTGCACCCAGACATGTCAAAGAGAGAGATTATTCATATAAAAAAGGACTGACATGTCAGAAACGTCCACTGAGCTGATCGGCACGATTTGTTGACGCAACGCAGAATGTTTACCCGGCAACTTTCCGCGCTACCTGTACAGTGGCGCTACTGGCACGTTGCTGTAAGTGTTCTTTGATTTCTGGTATAGTCACATTTTAAGCGCCTTTCGCGCTCAAATTACGAGCTGCCTCTGTATCTGGCGACTATGAGTCAGAGTACCAGAGCGGCCAACCGAATATGCCATTACAGATCCAAAATGCTTCTGCTTCAGGGGAAGTGGCGCATATTTCAGAATTGAGCTGCCATATTCTCTGGGTCTGTCGGCTCCCAATCATCAAAAATACTCACAAGCACAATTGCAAACAACAAGCACAGGCTTGGGTGGTTGAAAGACACAATGACTCTCAATCGAGTGTGTAATTCGCAGAGTTAGCCAGGCGGTCGCCCAATTTATTTTACATGACACACCTACATTACCGAAAAAAGCACGCTATTGTACTATTTTTTCCAAGCCCAAAACAAAGCGCGCTGAGGGAGTAACTCGCTAAAAAGTTCATGCGTGAAATCCAAGTGCAAGAGTCAAGTTCA